AGCTACTGCAAGCGATTTTTAGTGCTGCAAATCCATTTACACTTTGCTGAAACTTCCGCGTCTTCATGGACAGCGCAGGTCAAGGTTGCTTAGCAACGGCAGACGCCTCCGGAGCGCAAGCGCCCGAACGCTTTGGGAAAAAGCAGAAAGCGGCGCGTCTAGCGTTTTCCACGCGTTTTTAGGCGCGACATGTGAATGGCCCCTAAATCATTATAATCCGTAATTATGTCCCCACTGGATGCAACAAATGCCTCGTTTATAATGGGTTTTAATGTTTTTGTCTCGTGACTACCAATCAAAAACATATGTTTATTCAATACAAACAGGTGTTTACTATTCTACATTTTAAAATTCCAAGTGTCTGAACGCTAACATTATTAAAACCCCACATTTTAACGTTTACCACGTTACTGCAGACTATTTGGGAAAGTGATTGTGCCTTTAATCTTTGAAACAACAGGAAGAAACGTAACATAACGATTTCTACTTTAAGCAGTGCTGATGCATAGCGGCTGAATAACACAACTAAGCACAAACTCTCTCTCTCTCTCTCTATATATATATATATATATATATAATTTATAATTTAATACAATGAACAGAGACGTGGTGTGCACTGCAGCCTACAAAATCGCGCTTCTCCTGTTTGAGCTTTGAGCTGTGAAATTGACAGCACTCTAATCCAATGGCGTTGTAAATATACGGGAAATATACGGCAGTGAACCAGACAGTGAGTAGGTGTGTTCTATTAGTCTGCGCTGTTGGGAGGGGAAGCAAATTTTGTGGGGGGCCGGTGCCACCTCTCTAGACACGCCCCTGCAGCGCGACACGAGAAAATCCCCGACAGTAAACTGCTGCCTCTTTCGATTTATGATTTACTGACACAAAATTCAAATAATTTGCAACGGTCGCTTTGTCGCGTCCGGTGTAGACAGCCTATAATTTAGCTGTTGCGGCGCGGCGCGACATCTGTCGCGTCCGGTGTAGAACGACTGTCGTCAAGTAATAGCTCATTTTGATACGTTCAATAGTCGATGCGTCATTATTGTTTTAATTTTGTTTGTTGCCACTTAAATGTTAGTATCATATAATAACATTTTTAGCTAAATGTCAAACATATTGATATAGGTTTCAGCAAGATGATGGAATCGTGTTTAAATCATAAGCCTGAGAAAGTTGGCTCGGCGGTTCTGGACATCAAGAAAGATCTTTCCTCCGACTTCTCCAAATTATCAAAGGTAAGTTATTTATTATTATCAAATATATTTCATGTTTTAAAGTCCTCGAATGTGATTTAGGCTGTAAACTAGTATTTCATGTTTCATATTTCAGTAATTCGTGAGAAGTGGGACAAAACGGTGCAAAATTGAAAAAATAAAACCTTGTACTCAGACAAATGAAACTACATTTATGTATCTTATATCTACTGAGCTATGCTTTGATACAACCTCCCAACTTTTCTCTTTTTTAACAAAATGTGCTTTTTTACCTTGGACTGTGTAATATAATTTCAACTTTATCTTTAACAGCATTCAAGATGTTTTTAACATTTCAAAACACATTCTCGTGTTAGCAGACAGATTACACTTTCACATGTGACCAACAATTCCACAACAAATATAAAATATCATAATGAAATATTATCAAAATATTCAACTGACGGAGGTGACACATCTGACGGTGGTGACGAAAACCTGAATTTGTAGTCATTTTAACTATCAAATACATTGAATCAATCAATTACTGTATTAAAACAAACAAAACTAAAACTTAGCAGAGCCTGTCTGACACTGATGTACTCTGCAGAGGTGGACTATGGCAAGGGGGTCCTTTAGAGTGACAGCTGCCCCTGATATTCCCTGATTTTATTACATTTTATTGAATGTCTGACGGTGTAGACAAAAAGTGGGGACGCAACTTTAAAATCTTATGAAACATGCATGTGTCATTAAAAAAACAACCTTGCTTTGATATTAGGAGATATTAAGTGTTGCTTTTGATAAAAAAAATTTTTTAATCCATTTTATTGCATATGAATGATTGAACCCTTCTCTGTGGACACACTGTTTTAGATGTAGTGAGAGGACATTAAGAAACACAGATTTGGTATAATAATGAGAAAATTAAATTGAAGGTGATAATTGTGTTAAATACATTCTATTATTAATCCCTCATGACATTTAAAATTGAAAATATTTTAATTTTTTAAAGCTAATAGCAGTTACCATTGCTGGACCTGTTTTGTCCCACGTCTCAAGAATGACTGATTTCTGTTTTCAACAGGACTCAGTATTGCTGGAAAAAGAGCATTTGCAGGTCTATCTCCGTGTACGTCCATTCACGACTTCAGAGAGAGCAGAAGGAGCATCACAGGTGCCAGCATATTTTATACATTTTTATAACGTTTTTTTTTTTTTTTTTACAAAAGTGTCAGGTAATTGCTAATGCTAGGTTTGTAGTTTGATCAGCAAATTTCCTTTGGCACGGATCTGGCCCATACCAACAGCTAAAGTGTGGCCCAGATTAGTTTGTGTTCGCCGGCCCAAAACTGGTCCACATCTTTTTAGCCAGAACTGAACCTAAACAGTGCCATAACCCAACCCAGAGCCAAATAATAAAAACATGTGGCTGATATATGGACTGTATATGGTATTCTTATATGGCTGAGTTCTGTAAAGGGCTGATGGCCCTTATGTGGCCCACATGTGGCGGTCTCCTTTTGTGAAATCTACAATGAAAACATCCATGATCTCCTTGATATTGCTCCAAATGTCTCTCACAGAAGGACTGTTTTGCGGCTAGCCCAAGATGTTAAAGGCAATGCTTTTGTCAAAGGTAACCAAATAATTCACTTGTTTTCTAAGTTGAAAATACAATAATGAATCATTAAAATAATAATAATGAAATAAAGGTTTACATTTAAACATTTTATAGAAATAGTTTATTAAGGGTGTGCGATAATGACAAAAAAATGATATCTCGATATTTTCGATATTCAGAATTTTGTCGATAACGATAATTAGACTATATTTTGCTGAGCACGTTATTGGGCTGGTACTTTGGCAAGTTTAGGACTTCCCAAAGCTTTTGATATTCTTCGTATTCTGTGCGGTGGTTACAGGGCCTGAATTTTCGTTTTCGTTTCGTTTGGCTCTTATGGGGGAGGGTTTAATTTGAAGGGGAAGTTAGGGTATTTTTTTAGACATATGTGACCCTGTCTGTGAAATCCAGGCTAAAGTCTCAAAATCTAATTATGAGATAACAAGCATCAAAGTTTGATTTCAACCATTAATTTCACTATGATTTCAATCTTTGACATGGCCTTACTCATTCTGTATTAAAGATATAAAGGTTATATTTTCACAATTCTACATCTTTGTTCTACATCTTTATGAAGGATGATTTTATGTAGAAAACAGTAAATCACAAAAAATGACTTTAGCTGGGTTTTCACAGGCAGGGTCACATATTTTGAAACTACAATCATGCAACCTAAATGTTTCATCACCCAGTGTATTTGTGTTTTACAATTTATAATGTTATTGATTCATATTTATATTGTGTATATATAAGATTCTTAAAAATTATTTTGATTTCAAACTCTGAATTGAATTTATTTTAACTAAAAAAGACAAGTAAACAGTCAGTAATAAAATATGAATAGATAAATGACAAGCAATGGCACAAACAAATACAATAACAAGATACAAGTAATCTATTTAACTTTAAAATAACACTGGTTAGTCTTCAATGTATAAATAAACATTAATGACAGACAGAAGTTTTATGACCTCATGCACGGATCTAACTGTTACATAATTTTGTTTCTCAACTGTTTACATTCATTTAATAGCCAATATACCACAATGTTTAGTATAAATCGACTGTTTACGTGAATACTCATCAAGACAGGCATAATTTTTTACATAATTTTGTACGTATTTGGTAGGGATGTAACGATTCACTCAACTCACGATTCGATTCGATTCACGATTTTGATTTCACGATTCGATTCGATTCACGATTATTATAATTTTTTTTTACAAAATTAGATTTAAGACAAATTATAAATTAAATGTGTCCTTTTATTATTGCTTGGACAAAATGCTGCACATTTCTTTGTGAAATTAAAATATAACACTATAATCATTCCATCATCTTTCCTGAGCGTCTTTCACGCTGAAATATTTGCAGGAATTTCCCACATTACAAGCGCAGTTTCTGCGGGAATCAGTAGAATTATGCGCAATCCCCACAATCCTACTCCGAAATTCAAACCCTGGTGGTTAGTTTGCTGGAGTAACAGAAATGAACCAATTTAGTTTAAATTTTTACCATTAAAAGGCCATTTTTCTAACCTAATTAAATGCATCATCTTTTGTGTCAAATTCTTAAATGTAATCAATAAATTCAAATAGTAAGACACTATAGGGCTGTTACCAATCAAATTAAATCAGTATCAACAAAATTTGTGTTTGCAGTGGAGAGGTACAGAATCTACATCTGAATTGGCATTTAGATGCATTTACACAGACTGTTTAATAGGGCTGGGTATTGTTCAAAAAATGTTGATACTGATACCTTGACTTCGATACCTTTTAATACTTTTATTAAAAAGGAATACTTTTTTCCAATACCAATTTTATTAAATGTTTTAAAATAACAACAAACTGAAAAAATAAAACCAAATTTTTTTTTGATGTAATGTGATTACATTACCTTAAAAAAAAAAGTGATTTTATTTTTTCAGTTTGTTGACATTTTTACAGATTCAAAGAATCATCTCCTGAGCCACTGCAAATAGTCAGTGCAAATAGCTTTAATAAAGTTTAAATAGTTTTCAGTGCAAAATGAACAGTTTCAAGTCGGTATGTGAGGTTCACTGCTCTTAACCCGAATTAGTTGACTTTAGGCAAGGCAAGGCAAGGCAAGGCAAGGCAAGTTTATTTGTATAGCACATTTCATACACAATGGTAATTCAAAGTGCTTTACATAAAAGAAAAAAATAATAATAATCACAACAATAAAACAAGGAATTTAAAAACATTGAAAATGATTAAAACAATTGATTTAAGAAGTTTAAAATGAATTTAAGAAAACGATAATACGTAGAATATAGTGCAATCAGTTCGGACATAGCACAGTGCTCATTCAATGAATGCACAGCTAAACAGATGAGTTTTGAGTCTGCATTTAAATGTGACTAATGTTTCAGCACATCTGATCTCTTCTGGAAGCTGATTCCAACTGCGGGCGGCATAATAACTAAAAGCAGACTCCCCTTGTTTTGGGTGAACCCTTGGTATTTCTAACTGACTTGATCCTAATGATCTGAGTGGTCTGTTAGGTTTATATTCAGTGAACATATCTGCTATGTATTTAGGTCCTAGGCCATTGAGTGAGTTATAAACGAGTAAAAGTACTTTAAAATCAATCCTAAATATAACTGGAAGCCAGTGTAAGGACCTAGAGGACTGGTGTAATATGCTCAGATTTTCTGGTTCTAGTCAGAATTCTGGCAGCAGCGTTCTGGATGAGCTGCAGCTGTCTAATGGTCTTCTTGGGAAGGCCGGTGAGGAGACCATTACAATAGTCCACCCTGCTAGTGATAAAGGCATGAACAAGTTTCTCCAAGTCTTGACTGGAAACAAAACATCTAATTCTTGCAATGTTTTTGAGATGATAGTATGCTGATTTAGTTACTGCTTTGAGTAACTAAATCAGCATAGATTTAGATAGATATAGATAGATAGATAGATAGATAGATAGA